AAGTTCTATTAAAACAGATTGCATGCTGACTATCAATTTCAAGGACGATTGGCAAACGGAGATGATCGTGTGGAACGAATATGTCTGCTGTTTGTTGATGTAAGAGTAATGATTGTTTGCTAATTATTGTAATTATGAAAACAAGTAAGTGATTTCTCAAAATTGGAAATTCAGGTTTCAATTACTTGAGTGCACGAGGAGTGAGTAGAAAAGCGGTTATTTTTAAATCAATTTTGACAAAATTAAAATGGGATCCTGAAGCGGGCTTTTTGCATGAGATAATCTTGAGAAAAAAGATGGTCAATCCATTATAGAAAGGCATTTGCAAAAATATTACAGAGAACCATCAGAATCCCCTCAGGCTCATGAAAACTACTCACCCCAATTGGGGCTCCAAGTATCAAATGATAGACTGAGACGTAGCCAATGCTTATAAAACCGTAACAAGCAATATCTTGCTAAAATTGACAGCGAAAATTTCGAGAATAGTGTTTATAACCTTCCTGTAGTTTCTTTTCAACCTTGAAGTGGCAAAAATTCTTTGACAAACTTCTATCGGCCTCGGAATCCACTGATAAGACCACGTCTCATCTGAAAGCTGGTTTGGTGAGCTAATACATGATTGTTTCCACACGGCCGTACATAAAGTATTATATACAGCAGTTAAAGAAAACCATTATCGATCCAGAATGAACTCAAACAGGGTGTATGCATGTACTCACTGTTTACTTTTGAGTCACAATTTTTCACGGATTATTTAGTATTGGTAATCAGAAAACCAACCCAATGCGAACAAACTTACTTTTGTAAGCTGAATTTCAGTGATTTACAGTTGCTTGCGTGTTTCTATATTAGAAAATCGAAATTGAGTTGTTTAAAGGAATTCACAAAAGAAAGGCGATACCATACAGGCTGACCATTGGAAGAATAGCCAGTTAATAGTAGCGGAAGGAGTAGCTGTTAAGTCCAGCACTGTGTGCACTGAAAAAAAAACAGTCCAAGTACACCAGCTGCCCTGGTTTCGAATTTACTTTGATGGCGAATTCGATTGTTTCCTCTTTCACGTTAAGATGACGTCGGCAAATCCAACCGCTGACACGACCCGTCGTGCGTTTGGGAGTTTCTCAAAGATAAACACGAAAGCTCATTAAATTCTGATTCACAGGTTTTGCTGGTTTAAGAACGTTTTTCTAGCTCTCGTCTGCCGCCTCGCGGTTTATTCGCGATCGTGGCTCCAGGCTGGAGAAAAACCCCGGGAGATCCACAGCTAACGTGGAAACGAGGCCTGAAGAAACGCACAGAGCTATTAGATAGAGTTGGTGTCTAGCGGCTTCCTAGTTGGGGTCCAAAATACTGCAACTGGTTGGTTGGAAATGTTGAGAAATATGGCAGTGAACGGACAGCAATCGCGTTCTTGTCAATTCTTATCAGGCCAAAATGCTTGAAACGGTATCAATGCAGAGTTGGACTGCGCGATCCCTAGGTTATACATAGAGGTAAACTTTCTTACCCCTCTCCTCAAAATAGGTCCAATCCCTGTCTACATTACACGTAACCAATAACTTTGTACACAGCGATCAGCGATCTTCGCTTCATTGTATGTTCCCGTAAGACGATGATGACTATGATGACCTTCAGGTACGGTGATACATGCATAGACAGAACAAACTGTCAACTCCCCCAAAGGATGGTCAAACATTTTCCAAAGCGTATGATGAAATTGATGACCCAACCGATAACTGGTAGCCAAGTGATCACAAGAAATCCAAGGTCGTCTGTTCTAAATCATATTATGACAAGAAGACAAAGCTGATCTTAATTTGTCATTCAAACATCTTTCACCTGATGTCAACGCTAAACTTATGGTAATTAATGAAGCGATGGTTATTGGGTTACAGCACCCAACTTTGTGCATGAAAACGTTTCTCTCAATTAATCTATTTACCTTTAAGGTGACATTCTACTTTTATATTTATTAATCGTTGTATGCTTGTACACGTTTATTCATCATATTTGAACAGCCGCATGTGCCATACATGTGCTCGTTTGTTTCAGGTGAGCGATTGAGGAGATAAAACGAAATGTTAAAATCTCGCGACATTTGTCTTCTTCCTGTGTTGATGAAATTGATAAAGAGGACTCAAGGAGTCGGATTTGAATTTGATGTGCAGCCTAATTCGTAAATTACAAGTGACAATAAGACGCATTCCTACTAAAGATCGACTGTGTGATGCAGGCTTAGGTTCAGCCTCTGTAAAGCGCAAACAGTCCTACCTAGGATTACCTTCATCATGCGGTTGCTTACCTACTTCCAAACTTCCGAGCAATGATTCCAACGTTTGAAAATCTACCAGGTATTTTGTCTGAGTAATTGAGTAAACACATTCAAGCTGCGAATAACCTTCTGCGCAAAATACTTGTGTTATTGGCGGCGACTATTTTAAGTTATCGAAAGTATCAATAATTTGCGTATCAAGAAAGCTACATTACTGCACTCAACACAAATATCTCTGATAAAGGCCAGTTTAGATAATGTTTACTTCAGACCAGAACAAAGATGTGGCAACTATAACAAGGTTTAGTTGTCTTTAGTCCATCACAAAATGGTCAGAAAACATGCAACCCCAAATAATCTTTAAGTTGAGGTATTCAACGAATTCGACAACAGGTCGTTGTGCTATCAGGAGTACTTCTTAAATGTTTTTGCAGATGCTGTCAGCCTGCAATCTTTTATTTATTTGACTATATACAAAAATACACTTTGTGTTGAAGCTTAACCAGAAATGAAGATGAAAACTTCAAAACATAGTTTTGTTACAAAATGTTTTACTCAATGTTGTTATATTTTTGTTAAAATTAGGAAGTTTTCTGACTAAAGATCACATTCATATTGCTATCTTCCGACTACCGATAAAAAGGATACTTCACTGTTTTTGATTTATTCCGTTCTACAACTGAATGAGATCATGTTGTCTGACTTTGTTTTACGTTTACTCTTGATTAAAAGTATCAAATGAACCAAGTTCCCGCAACTCATGGATGTACATTGTCCGGCTGATCAGTGGAGAACGTGCGTCTAAAGGAAACTGAATTGCAATTGATTCACATGACGTTTTATCATTACAATTTTCGGGAGTACGAGTCCACTGTCAGGCGGACTTTGTGCGACTAGGGCATCTCTTAGTCAAGGTATAGAAAATGGCTACCTGAAAGATAGTGAAGAGCCCAGCATTGATTCATTGGATACGTAAATGATAACCATTATTGAGTTACTTTATAAATGGTGACTTTTCACGTGGCTAGCAGTCTATCTGCATCATATTTTGTGTAGGAAACTTCCTGAATTGTGATGAACGAGCTCACTAGTAAACAATATGGAGGTACAAGTTAGGTATGTAGAAGCTGAAATTCAATCCTCAAAACGTCAGTGTGTTTTACTGTGATTAGCTTTATACTCATTTACCAAGGTTGCCAGAATATGCCTAAGATAACAAGTGACGTATAGCCAAAAGGTACGTGATTAAGAAGGCAAAGTTGCACTTAAATAAATTTGAGTTAATGGTTACCAGAATCTTCAGAAATAACTAAAACTATTAGATCTGTTCACTGTCATCACAGAAATGAATCCGGTTCATTCAACCAAACACAGAAAATAATAGGAAAAAATAAAAAGCCATACACCGAATGATAATAACTGCAAAGTGGGGACTTGACCAGATGATCAATTTTGGACATAAAAATGTTCGTAGTTGCTCTACTATGCGCATATTTTCCTATCATTTACACTGTACTTATTAGCCACTATTTCAGGCAGAATTTCAGCTTACCGGTAATTTGATCCCGATTAATAGTGCGCACCAAAGTGTCAATCAATCCGGATAAATTTGTGCTCTAGGTAGTATGGGATTTCAGATTCCGCACAATTAATGTCCAATTCTGTACAATTATTCCAGGTCATATGATTGGAACTATTTGTTTCTCAGTGTATGTAATCACAGAAGAGGTCAAAATACGTTGGTATTCATGTTTCCAGTGAGGTTANATGTTTCCAGTGAGGTTAGGAGAGGAATATCTGGGGGCTTAAATCCCTAGGAAACTTATCAGCTTCACTCCCTGGATCTGTACAATCTTTTTCATTCAAATGTTTTTTTGAACAGGGTTGCTGGAACCACTACACATTACAGAGACATTTGAGCTAACGACAAAATGTCTGCTTCCGGTGTTCAGAGCAATTTCTTATCAGGTGGGTTATGCAGTGGACTAAATCCTGACATTTGATAATTTTTATTGTGACTGATGAACCGTAAACGCTGGGTGACAAGAATTACTCTTATTGATTTGCCCAGGAAGGTGAATTATTAGGTCGAAGCGTGATCATGATTTCAAGGAGGTTCCATCGCGGATACCCGTAGGGGAACAGCAAAATTAATAACAGTTAAACTTGACCTTACACAATTGTCAGCGACATATAACTACAAACCATGTAGTCGGTTTTTGATTTTTGAGCCCCTTGCTAGCCAGAAATAGAAGCTAGCGTCAATTTGGGGAAATGTTTATTTTGTCGTCACTGTGTCTCATTCACCTCAATTGGTCTCGCATTCGCGTGTGCGCACTATCACCTAGTCAAACGCAACGGAATTTTAGTCGACAGTTTAAAAGATTATTTGTTTTGTAGTTGTAGAATTTTCAAGACAATCGGAATCATGTAGTTGGTTGAAAGGAGTGCGCGCACACTGATTAAGAGATGGGTTTCAAAATTAAGTCACGCATGTAAAAGTACAGTATCAGTAATCATCCGATGTTGCTAGATATTTACTGAGCCAAATATACATAATATGAATACCAACCCTGTTTTACACTTTAAAATATCCTAAAAGAAAGTGCTTATTCTGTACCACAAGCGGTCATGGCAAAATTATCTACAAAACCAGTGTGTATATTGGTAAAATCCATAGAGGATAAACAAAACAGTTCTTCTAACATTTTTCATGGTTTCTTACCTTTTTATCTTTCCTGTGGTTGAATTGTATGTCTTTACATGGGATGGGTTCTTCAGCTTCCACCGATGGGGTCACTAGCATTGGCGGTCTGATGTTGCTAACGTGCGATGTCGTTTCCGCTGAACACGGCTCATTTGGGAATGGTTTGAATTTTTCCCCCAGAGAATTGCGTAGATGTTTGCCCTCTCCTCTCCGAATGATTCGCAGCCGATTCAAATTGAACAGGTCACGACTCGTAGTTTTGGATTCCACGCTGCTGCCTTTAGCTGTCGTGCAGTTTAGAAACGTGGGGAGTAGAGTGGTGCTGGAAGGACGCCGTTCGTTCGATTCGAAGGAAGTCGTTTGTCCTTTACAGTAGTGCATTCCATTCATAATCACGATTAGACAGTTGTAAATTTTGAGGTAAAACCGAGAAAAACAAATACTTTATTACTACCAGTATTACAGAAAATTGCATATACTGAGCTTTGCGAAAATGTGGGACAAGAACAAAAATCAGGTTGCTAACGTAATTACCAATTCATGTATCTTAGTTTGTTACCCACAATAGGATTTCTCTTTTAACAGACTACATTCATTTCAACCAGTATCGTTTTCATTATCAATATGGAGATAATTGTTAGTTCTGAATCAGTGTAGCATATACGCGCATAGGATGTAATGTTCATTAGAACTACGAAAAACAAAATAAAGTATTTTGGATGATTGGGAAAAATATGCGATTCACGCAAAAAAGACGTAAAAATGCCAATTTATCTAACTAATACACGAATCACCACAAAGTGCAGCTTAGAAACGAATCGGTGTAGAAGCGAGTTTATAAGTGTCACTGTGCGTAAAGCAAAAAGTTTGGATAGAATATTTCGATCGTTTAACTAGTATTTTTGTCCAAATGCTTTTCAAGCGCATAAGGCAAATTTTTCCATCAAGATCACATGGAGGAATCATTCATGTATACCGTGAAAAAATAAAATCTGTCGGTAAAACCTGGCTGCCACAAGCGTCACAACTGCACTGTTTTTTCAACTAATCTTAAATTTTAGTTTTTGCAAATATTCTACTCAGATTTAACCGTATTTACCGATATCTGGATAATCGATTTGCGTTGAAGTGCTTCCGGTCACTTGCAACGGAAAGACAAATAAGTGCTTTGACCCTAATACGGAAATCCTGGGATACAGAACTTATATTCGAAATGCATTCATGCATCACGGAGGTTAACATAACTTGTCCATCACGCGGTAACAATGATTGCAGAGAGAAAGAGGCTTCAAGTCAAGAAATAGCAATATGCGCTAGTTCTGGTGCCATATCTGTTTGCAAATTCGTGGTTGTAAAATACTACGAACATCTCCGGCCTAAACTGCGTTTTTGTATACTTGTGGCTAATTAATTACTTATTATTTGGTTAACTCCTAATATTTGCTTCGTCGTGTTTTGATAAGCGTTGATCAGTACATGACCAATGTGCACCACCCGGACTAACTCAGAGTCATTCAATAACCGGAATGTTTTCTTTTAAGTAGTTGGAACCGAGAACTGGATTAATGTAGCATATTCTGATAAACATTTTCTGCAAGAACGCTTAAAGTTTCGTAGGGTTTTTTTCCCTGGAATAACAGCTTGTTATGTTTATGTTACGACGTCATTTCTCTCTCACTGCGCATCTCGTTTGTCGCTCATCCTGAAAATGTAGCAATTAAACATCAAAGGATCCGTATGGGCACAATTTGTACAGTAAGCTCAAAATTTGGTAGCAGAGAATTGTTGATACTGAACGTTTGTCATTTTGCAAAGGCGAGTTTAAAGTAATTTGAGTCGTATTAGAAGTCAATCCACAAAGTGATTCCACTTGGTAGCAAATTCATTTCCATTCGTATGTTGTTGATTTAAAGCAAACTTCCTTCTCTTCTGAAAGTATACGAGATTCAGTTTGGTTTGTCAAGAGCGACTAATGTATATTGAGGCAACAACATGTTCTACTATATTTGATGAGAAATGAATAAGTGTTAGATTTCTCGGAAAAAGAAAAAAATTGAATTCAAAAATATGCTTTACCCTATTAAACAAAAACGTTTTCCGATTGAACTAAATACCGTGTTTCACTGCCATTAACAGATATTAAATGAATTGGATCAAATGAACAAAAAATAGATGATTTTCAACTGTTCATTGCTCTATGCTTACCAATATTTCGTGAATATTCTGATAATTTTGGAACAAAAATCTTGGATGATGAACATATGTTCAGTCGTTGAGACAATCGACATTTATTTCTTGTAATCGTCATGTCGGAGTTTGTGTTATTTTAGAAGTCATTCCCAAAGAGTAACAAAAACTGAAAATGACAACCGGATCGATCATTTTGTTGCATCAAACTCACAGTGTTGGTCTCAATGAAACTGGAAAACAAAAAAGTACAATGCGACATTGACTCGATTCATCACGCTGTATACTTCTCTTATCTAGATTAGGCGACAAAAGGTGTCAATCATGTGATGCATGTAGGTTAAAAAGCCATATCATCAATGCGATATTTGAGATTTATACAATTGATATATATTTTTGGAAAGAGTCAAAATGTATAGAGAGCGATTTTACTTTTGGAAAAATACAGAACATTTCCATATGCTGCACGTTTGTCATGTGGTTGTTTTAGTAACGAAAGAAGACTAGTAGACAAGCACATTACAAATTATAACCGATGCCTTGTTAATTTCAATCCATGATATTTATGCAACATAACATAGAAACCATTTGGTTGTAGGTAATACAACCTTCAATTATTTTTAAAACAAGGAGAGTTTTGCTTTCCGAGAGAGCTTTCAGAACGTTGAATTTTTGCAAAATTTGTTCCATCATTCGGATTTTTCAAAACGTTTATCAATGATCTGTAATCCAATTGGTACGAAGACTATAAATACCTAATCATATTTTCAATAGTTCTTCCACTTTGCATTTGTGAATGTGTACGTAATTGAAAAAGCTGCGAAACCTATTCCTTAAACAACTTGTTTTTCTTCTGCAACGGCAAATGCTTTCAGGTTTCAATTAAGCCATATCTGCCATTTATTTTTTTGAAGGTATTTGGCTAATTGAATATGAAAAATTAGGGGAAACAAAATAGAATGAGATTCACATAGACTATATATATGTACTCTTTTTAGTATTCAAACTTTGCACACTGATGCAGATAGTGAAAAGGACATGAATAGAAAGCTTTTTCATTTGAATATTCAATATCCGCCTATACATAGTTATTGAGTAATATAATTCCCTTGAAATTTACTGGGTTTCTTTTCAGCTCTCTCATGAAAGCCCACGAAAACATCACAGATTTTCGAGCAGTGAGCAGCATTTTGATAATGTGAATTTGTGTTTTCTGTGTTTTTAATGGACTCGGTGTACTTTGCATTTTGCCTATTATCCTTTTAATTTTAGTCTTACCAATGGATCATTGGTCTTTTTTGTCCGGATGAAAATGCAAACAAATACACCTTTGTGTTTGAGATTTTAGTTATTACCAATACAATTCGAAACTAGCAAGTATGGGTTTTCGAATTAGAACTGAGCAACCCACAACCAGATGATTGCTGGTAGCTCTAAGGAAACTCCTTATATCAGGTTCTGACACTTTATTCATGCTCAATTGTTCATCACCCATATTTGTGTATCACCAGTAGCAACAAATCTCTAGATTTAGGTTGAAGTCAGCGGACGGNTAAAACTTGATATAATGGAAAAAACTACTGTTTTTCGGAATTAGCAGCTAAAACATTGTAATTGGTTCATGGTTTTGTGTATGGTACTGATTAAAAATATAATTTAGGAAAAAAACAAATCCTGCTATGGGTGGAACATTAGGGGACAAACTATTCAATTTGATCAAATAAACCAAATGTAGTGTTCATCCAATTCCACTTTTCACAGTGGTGGCCATCACTATGGGTAATAATTGCTCACAACCGAGCCTATTTATTTCAGTTTTGTATTTCTCCGAAATAAGTTATTACTTTAGACCCTTTGCCACCCGGTACTCGATTTACACATACATTGTGCTAGTCGAACCACATTCTTCGTAATATAGTTGCGTTTTCCCCCAAAATTACTATGTATAATTCGTGACCACGGTGATCACAATTTTGAGCTGTAAAACTTTTGTCACTTGTGTGTGACATGATGAACAAAATTATGAATAAAATCAACTGACTTCTAGTTGTATAAGGATTTGCATTTCTCATCACCTGGAAAATGTTTCTTCTGATTCTGTGTTGATCAAGTTCTCGAGCGAAGCTGTAAATCTCATTGTCTGAGGAAAATAAGAAGGAGAAAGTGATATCATTCTTCTTTTCCAACCAACATCCTCTGGGAAATTAAGTGTTAGGTTCAGGTGGCACAATGATTGAACTCGTGACTGAAATCGCAAAGCTCTCAGAACGTAAGAATATAAACGATGAAATATACTTCAGTTTCATTCAAACAAAATAAGATCGCTTAGATTATCGAATCAATCTGAGTGCCTTGTTTATTTCTATTTTTGCTGTTTCTATCAGCATACTATCGCAGTTTGATGAATTGACACAGTTGCTGAAGGAATTCATGTTTGGGATTCACAATAAACTTGAACAATATTACAAAACACAAATGGGATTCATGTTGTAGACAAACAAACACAGTCACTTGTAATGTTAAAAAATCATCCGTTTTTGATTCTTAGCTTCACGTATACAAATTTCGCAATCCGTTCAGTTTGCTTATCTTTGAACAAATGATACTTGGAATAAAATATACCAAACATTTACCACTGCCGTGATTTTTCGTTAGACTTTAAAGAGTACAATATCTGATCGCGGATAGCGATCGTGAGATGTTAAATGTTTTCTTAAAAATAATGTTATAAGTGATGTTATGGTTTCTTTCGTGTTCAATGCGAACTCAACTGATTTCCCTTCACGGGGTACAATTTCTATGTGATTTGCACACATGTCCCATAGGATTGAAGATTAATTTGCATATATTTGATTTAATTTCAAATAATTTTATTCCATTTGATATTGAAGGGGGCCCAGGATGATTAGTATCGATGGCAGGTAATATGAGATCCAAGTAAGTGATAGGATATTATATTCATTGCCAAGACCTTTCTGTAAAACAAAATGAAAAACCATTGGACGGTTACCGAAGGCTCATAGGTGTATGCGGGAAATGAAATATGAAAGTTGTACTATTATGCAATATATGTATGTCAATTTTAAGTCATTCAAAT